TTGTTGAGGGCTTTAAAAGTGAGGAGCAGGATCTTGAATTCTATTCTAAATTTTACAGGGAGCCAATGTAAGGAAGCTAAGACAGGAGTGATATGATCTCTCCTTCTASTMSCTGTCAGCACTCGTMCTGCAYKATTTTGGACCAACTGGAGACTTTTAACAGTCTTCATGGAGCATCCTGCTAATAGAGAGTTGCAGTAATCTAATCTAGAGGTTACACACGCGTGGACTAGTTTTTCAGCATCCTGCTTAGACAGGATGTTTCTAATTTTGTTAATATTGCGCAGATGGAAGAAAGCCGTCCTAGACACTAGTTTAATATGGGGGTCAAATGACATGTCTTGGGATCTCTCTCTTAATAAGAGCTGATAGGCATTGCTGTTGCATTAACAATGTTGTTATTTCGTTTTGTTTCCTCATGATGCCAAGTCATTTCTGGTTTCCAGATCCACTGTCTTAAATCCTGGTTGTCCATGTGAATCTTGTGTGTTGAATGGGTCCATATGAAATTGCATTTGGTTTTGTTCATATGAAGTTGTATTTGTACTTTTGCCGTTTCAATTTGTTTAGGAATGAATTCATCTGCATTGACATTGAGTAACCATGTAGATTGTGCCTTTTCCAAATATGATTTTATTCCATCCAAGACCTTTGACGTCCTTTTTCAAGAAGAATTTCTAGTTTTGCCATTTTTTCTGCAATTCCAGTGTTCAGTTGCGCAGGCGTTGCTCCTCTTCTTCCAAAGCATGCTTTTCCTTTAATACTTTGTGCCTCATAGTTAAAGCTGCAAGCTCAGCTTCTGCCTTTAAACGTGCAGAAGAAGTTGAGGAGCATTGTGACTGAGATGTTTTGTGGCTTTCAATATTTGAAACACTGTCAAATGTCATCCTCAATTTAATTTGCTTCATTCATTTCCACAGAGTGCATTGGAATTTCTGGTGAATCCTGTTGCTCCTGAGAGATATTTTGTCCAGTTTCAACAATCCATTTTTGAGTATCGTTTTGAAATGTATTGCTGTAATTCATGATGCTTGAAAACCATTCCTTTTGTTTAATGAGTTCATCCTCAGGGAGTAGAGGCCAAAGTTCATTGTGGCGGTTGTGGCATTTTCACATAGTGTGTTTAAATTCCCCAAACATTGTTTCACCTGAGACACATTTTTCCTTTGTTTCATGAGCTCTTTCATTCTTGGTATCAAGCCTTTAATTTTATCTACAGCGTGTTTGCGTTTTTCAATTTTATTCACCAGAGCCTTTTCAGTGAGTTTTCTCTCCCTTTTCCCAGATTCCATGTCACGAGGCAGCATCATTTGCTTGACTCATTTTAACCCCTTTTCATTCAGTTTTCAGTGAAACGTGACATCAAAATTAAATCCATCCACGATGCACAATCCACATATCTGAACAATTCATTTCAACAAGGCAGCATCAGCATTCCTCCTTGAAACATCATAAAGCTTCGCATATACAAGCATATGTGATGTCATGAGAGGGTGTGTCATAGAGGGGAGATACATTCCCTCCCGGTGGCTGCAGCAAGGACTACAACCCATCATGGCCTCCATTAAAGAACTACAACCCATCATGGCCTCCATTAAAGAACTACAAAACCCATAATCAGCAGGAGTGTTGCCCAGTTGAAGGATATTTAGCTGATTGCCCCAGGGAGGGGGCTGAGAGAGTGAAGTGAACAGAGCAGATAAAGAAAAGACTCTGTCTGAGGTAGTAGAGAAGGGAGTTCTTTTGGTAGTTGACAAGGAAGACTCTGAACAAGAGTTATTGATTCAAATAAGTGTTTTTTTTGTTTATCTGCTGACTGCAAAAATTAAGTTAAAAGAAGACAGAATACAGTGGATTTAAGTTGGAAAGCAAAGCTGTCTGTCTTCATTTCCTGCACCCACACCTCAAAAGCTACAAGAGGGAAAGAACCCGACCTCTCAAGACATCACAATATGCAATACATATCTGACCAGCATTCCTTCATTCATGTTCCCAACAGAGACATTTCAATGCAATCTTGATTCCGCCTCCACACACATACATGCACAAGTAAGCTTACCTGTCCTCTATGACAGATGTATGGCGTGGCGCTTTGTCTTATTTTTGCTTGGCACCACTGCACTTACTGGGCGTCTCGCCGATTCCTTTGCGCTGCGAGCGATCGCTTTTGTTGATGCCTTTTTTGTCGACAAATGTTGCAACTTTCCAATCCCTTTAAAGTCGCTTGAGAGGCTGAGAATAGGTCCTGTATATTTGAAATGACATGCTGATGCTCAGAGAAGCACAGTGAGTCCAGGTAAGTTTCAATGTATTTAATAAGAAACAAAAAAGTTACTAGCGGCTTTCCGATTACACACGCACATAAGATGGAAAACGTGTACACTGTTTGCATATGTATAACAAAGCAATCAAACTAAACAAAAGGCAACAAAAATTACGGCTACCTAACTTGCCTCTCTCCACCCCCAGTGCAGGTGATTCAGCCCCTATTGTAAACTACGGATGTCATCTACGGCGCCCATGTGACCCAAACCGGACCAAACAAATCAAAACCCGAATAATGATCAGCAAAACAATATATGGCTCCTACACTGGATTTGATCATGTTGACACAAACAAGGAGCGACTCAGTGTGGAGGTTTTCCTCCACCATCCTCTTCTTGGTTATATACACACTGGCATCTTGGCCTTCCCTAAAACAAAGTTTAAAAGCTGGCTGTTCTGTTTGTGCTTAAGAACCTCCTTAAAACTTGTAAAAACAACTTGTAAAAACAGAAGCAATTCAGACAGAGGATGACACTCATAAAAACAGTGAAAGACAGTTTCTCTCCTGCCACAGAATGGGCATTTGTCCTCCAGTGTTGGTTTAATTAAGAAGACAAAAGCGTTCACTGCCATGATGGTGTGGAGCACCCTCCACAGTAGGTCTGCATGTCTTTCACTTAGTGGAGGTTTGTACAACAACCTCCACTGAGGTCCAGATCCTTGGCCCAGACCTAGATAGTGCCTCCAAGAAGTGTCAGTTCGTCCATTATGTTCAGTGTTTTCACCATTAGTTTATAAAAACTTATTTCTGGAAGCTCCCTCCAGGCAGACCATGTGGGCTGGCCCAGAAGTGTATTTTGTGTCCAACACCAGGAAAGTGGCGGGGAAATGGTCCTCCACATGTGCTGTGGGTAATAGATCCATTTGCGAAAGAGTTTAAAAGCAGGATGTCCTGACCTGTTATTTCCAGTGGTCAAGTATTTTCTCCATAATCCTGGTTGATTTGATCCCCAGTTTATTTGCCAGTCCCGTGGGGTTCTCCAGCTGGGGCCTGGCCAGCTCCACCACCTGGCCCAGTGTGGAGACCCCCACAGACCTGTACCTCTGTGTTACGGCCCCAGCCCATGCCTGTGTCCTGTCTGTGTATGGTGTGTGGGTGTGTCTTGCAGGTTGCTCATTGTTGGCTGGCTGGAAGTTCCTGTGCATGGCTCCCTGATTGGCTTGCTGTTATAAACCCCCTGCCATGCACTCTAAAAAGTAATTCAGGTGACCTGTTACCGCCACTTAATTAAATGCATGATAGCAGGCCAAAAAACCTAATTTATTGACTGAGATCAACATTTTAAGTTGGAAAAATTATTTTGTTGAGTTATGACGAAATAATAATGTTGATCATTAAATCAAATTAATAGTCTTATTTCAAGTTAAATGTCTGCATTAAGTGATTTGACATAAAGTTAAAGTTCTAGTAACTTGATAAAATTTGCTTGACAACTTAATTTTTCTCCAACTTAGTTCAGGATTTTAAGTCCCCATTTAACATGCCCCGACGTGTTCAGAAAGTTGAGACTTTGTGTCAGAGGACCTGCTAAGAAGAGAAAGACATTTTCAAGGCAAGTATCATCTCTTGTACATGTAAAATGCAATTTATTTCAGTTTTCTCAATCGTGATATTGACCATTAGTGGACTTTTGTATGGACGTTAGGCTACAGCTGCTGGAACATGTTGTACTACTACACATTGCTAATGCTATTCATATAAGCAGTGTGATCTGGACATAATATCAAGACCTACGTGTATCTACTTCACATTAAGACTTTGCATCATCAGTTTTATCCATGATAGACTTACTATGTCATTCTATGATTAGTTTGAAAAATGAACAAAAATGAGCTGGGGGCTCAAAATGTGTAAATTTGAAACCTCTTCAAAAATAGAGTTGCTAAAACATTACAGGCTACGCCATGGTCATGGGGGGCAATWACTGCCATGTCTTCACCAAGATTGTTTTTCTTCCTTCAAAACATGGGGTAGCCTTAGATCACATCTATCCAGGAATCACTCTCAGGAAACTCAGGAAAGAGMGAGATCTGTAGAAAGCCTCTCTTTTACTTGCCAGTGTTGCAGTAACAGTACAATCWCCATAGAAAAAGAGTTTTTTAAACATTTTGYTCAGCATTTGAAACAACACGAGACTGTCYTCTGTGTTTTTAAGAACTGCAATTTCAGCACTAATATTTATGGAACATTTGCCTCACACAGAAACTGAAAGCATACTCCTCACTCACTACAAGACTTTAAAGAAGACCTACTGAAGAGGTATGAAGGTTCTTCAAATTCAAATGACTACAGTGATACAGGATACGGAAGTTTCTGTGACTGATTATGGTCGGGATGATAATGTTTTTGTGGTTACAGATAAATGAAGAATTCAAGAGAATTACTGCTCTTAGAATTGAATCAACCTTCATGGCCAAACTTGACCATTGCACCCCAAAACTGATGGACGTAGCCTCATCAAAGGGAGGAGCTACAGGAGTTAGAATCAGGCAGATCAAGGACATGCTTCGTGAGGTATAATCACTTCTTAAATTTATATTTGAAAAGCTAATTGTAAGCCACCCATTCAGATTTAATTAATTTTGCCACTTTTTCTTGACCTTTTTTCCTTTCTCTTATATAGAATAGTACAGTTGAAGTGGAGAGAAGTAGCCATCCGCTGCCTGGTTGTGTACCTTGGAGAGAAGGAGAATGACCTCTTCAAAGAATTTGCTGTAAGTAATTCAAAGAATTAGGAAGAAACTGAAATCAATTTGTGAATTTAATATCTCAGGAACATAATTGCTCTATCGATCAGCTGAATTCACTATGTGACAGTGTTTAAAGTCTGCACTAATCATCCAGTTCATTATCTCGAACATTTGCTTTCCAGGASACCGAAGAGTTRGAGGCAAACCTTYATCGGCAAGTGATGAATATTGCCATTATTGGTGATCAGCAGTCGACCSCAGGATCTGACCAGAGGACAGCAACCATCGTGGTTGAGGGAACCAAAATCCTGGCGGGAAAGGATATGCCAAGGTGCTGTGCTTTGCTGATGGGCACAATATATGCCCTGAATCTGAGTTATCGTAAGGAACTTAAGTCTACATTTGAGGTTTTTCAGAAGCTGTTCCTCGGGCTTGATGGACTAAAAACCAMTGCCACAATTTTTGTGCTTTGGAAATAATTGTTGTGTACTCACGTCATTATGCAGTTTATGCATAAAAATGTTCACTGTTCAATATATAACTGCAGTTCAAAATAAATTTAAAAAAGTTAAATGCCACACAATTTTGTTGTTGTATAAATTAATCATTAATTTCATAAAGGTTGCTATGAAAAAAAACACATTAAAAAGCTAAAAAACTACTGAGGAAAATCTAATTGGAGCAAATTGATCTTTTAAATCGTGTCAACTTAAAAAACCTGTTTATAATCATTGAAATTAAGTACAAAACACTTAAAAATTCCTTTTCAATAACTTGGAAAAAGTACTTGGAACAACTTAATTTTAATAAGTAATCAACTTAAAAATGTGTGTTTACTGTAACAATTTTTAAGTAAGTAGTGATTAAAAATACCTTTGATTGCAGATGAAAAGCTAATTCCCTTAACTCAATATTGTTTGTCAGTTAAAGTTAATTTCTCTCTAAGTTGCCGTAACTCAAAAAAGATCAACGCAAACTAAATTTTGTTATGTTCTGCACCTGACAACATGCACCACACATACTACATAGCACTCAAACACCCTCACACACTACTGACGCTCACTTTCACACTCCATCGCTCATTTCCGTTTATGTTAAATCAATAACGCCTATTGTAATTCGCTACATCACGCAGCCTTGTCTGTGTTGTTGCGGCCTCAGAGCCAGGCGTAACACTCTGCAAGGAGAGAAGGTGGAGGATCAACACAGGCCAGCCGGTGCCACAGGGTAGATGAAACTAGGTTGTTTGTTATAAGTGTTTAGCCTCTGTATGACATCTTTGGCAACAGCCACTTTAACAGTCGACCTTTAACAGTCGACCTTTAACCTTCTCCAGGACATCATCACAATTTGTTTTCATTTGTGTCTCATCTCCCAGTAAGACTCCAAGGTATTTGAGTCCTCCTCTTCTCAAGACCAGGCCTCCAGACAGCCTGAGCAAAACCCCCAGCCTCTCTCCAACCATCAGAGCCTCGTTCTTCCCCCAGTTCACCTTTGCAGAAGACATAAAACCAGGTTATTTACAGTGTCAGTTAAAACATCAATATCTCTTTGTGTGTTTACAAGCACAATAATATCATCTGCATGAACTGATAATTCAAAAGACACACTGCATTGGGGGAAACACACACCTGTTAAAGCCATTCTTAGCTTATGGAGCAGAGGCTTGATGGCCAGAGAGCAGCCCTGCCTCACATCTCTCTGGATGTTGAAAGGAGCACTCAGTCCGCCATTTATTTTCAGAAAACTCACAATGTCAGTATAGAAAACATGGATCATGGCTTAAATCCTGGGCTAAACCCAAAAGCAGCCAGAGTCTGCCATAAATACTAGTGTTCAACCCAGTCATAAGCCTTTTCCTGGTTTATGGAAATTAGACCAGTCTCTACTACCAATGAATTGGAGAGGTCCAAAACATCTCGAATCAATGTGACATTGTCACCTATGAGCCTCCCGGGCACACAGTAAGTCTGGTCAGGGTGGATGACAGAAGCCATTACCTTCCTCAGTCTGAGGGCCAGAGCTTTGGACAGGATTTTGTAGTCCATGAGCAGAGAGAGCAGAGAGACCGGCCTCCAGTTTTTCAGGTCCTGTAGGTCTCCCTTCTTCGGCAGCAGGGTGATGACGGCCCTCCTGATGTGTGGAGGGCCACACACTCTCAATTAACTGCAGAGTTATTGTCAGAAATGGGGAGTATGTGAGCAGGCGCATTGTATATCAAGCACTCTTAATGTAATCATAGTCCACGCTCAGCTGCCACCATGATCATGATCCACCACGACTATGTGATTCATGATTCATCATCAAGATCTATGGTCCATGATCACAGTCTATGATCCACCATCATAATCCACGATGTGGCCGCGACAGCGATCCTGGATCTGCAAATGATACAGCACAAGGACTCTAAGGTAGAAATTAAGTCAGTAACATGTATTGATGAGACATTAATGCAATAAAGATAGAGAAGAGGAAAGAGAAGCTACATGTCTCATGTGTCCTCTGACAATCTAGACTATAGATTAGATATACTTTATTCATCCCACAACAGGGAAATTTACATGTTACAGCAGCAGAGAGAAAGTGTAGTATACACTACAGAAATTAAAATGGAAAAGGCAATAACACAAAAAAACAGACAGAAATTTCTGTAACCTACACAGTAAAAAAGAAAACAATCGACCTGCAAACAGACAATGTGCAAAAGGGTACTGAGGATAAAAAGAGTGGCATGATATAAAAAGCATATAAATAAGTATATAAATAATATTGCAAACGTAAGTGACCATAATATAAATAATATCACAAAAAGTAAGTGACGATGACATGAATAGTACAGCAAGGCATAAATGAAATAAAATGAAATAAGAAAATATTGCAATGTAAAGTGACCATGATATAAGTACTATAGCAGCATAAGTAGGAGCTGCTCCAAGACAGACAGGAAGGTTACAAGCCCACTCTTAAATGTAGAAAGGTTGTCACAGGAGAGGAGCTTGATAGCTGATAGCTCTGGTCCTACTCTACTTTAGACTTAAAGAAGTATTACAAAGCTGGTTAAGATGTAAGTGGCTCATGACTCACTGATAATGAGTGAGTTGACGTGCTAAACGCGTGCTAAATGCGTGCTAAACACCATGGACCTCACCAACCTAACCAGGAAGCATGGCATTAAGGTCACCTGTGACACCCTAAAGGAATAATATATTTTGTTATAAAAGAGATAAGTAATTTCATTGGTGGTGATATTAAAAAGATGTGGGATTAAAAGTTAAATAAGTCCATAAATAGTATTTAATGGGATTGATGAAAAACATCTAAAATAATCAAAATGGTTAAAAGGTGGTTAAACTATTGAAGTGTTTATTTTATATTGTATATTTTGTTGTTTCTTGATTGATCTGAGTTTTTTGCCAGTGATCTACACAGTGGTATTGCTCATACAATCTGTGATCGATTGCTTTTGTTCTCATTCGAGTTGCTGAGGAAACATCACTCACATATTATTTCTCCCCTATTTTCAGGTATGTTACAGGTTATAAACACAGTTGTGTGGGTTGCTAACATGTTTTAAGTGTAGAAGGAATGCTTTAGAGACGATTTTAGTAACCTAAAATTAAGTTTGCCCATAGTTAATGTGTGTGTGTGTGAGCAAGTCCACACTTCGTTATAGAGACGTGGTTAGTAACGCTGTGTGTCTACTATCTCATGTACACATGATGTATTTTGTGTTATTTGTACAATATGTTTTATGCACTTTAAGTAAATTCATGAGAAGTTTGCTGAGTTAGAGATATTTTGTGGTTTAAGAGCTAAATGGAAATACGGATTATTTCTGTAATACTGCTTGTATTGTTGCAATTTAAAAGGTGTGTGTACATTCTGAGAGAATATTTCCGGTAAATTACTTCTTATGTGGATTGTTAATTTTTGTATATTTGCTCAACTGAGGAAGCTGAGGAAACATCACTCGCATATTATTTCCCACTTATTTTCAGGGGCGTAACATTTTGGAGGCACCGCTGGGATTGCTGTTCAGATGTCCAGTGTCCACGACCTGCCCACTGAATTCTGAGCCAGCCAAATCCCCCCACTACAACCCAGGCAGACTGCAGTGAGGAAAGTGTTGCTGTTCAAGGAGAGCCAGAAGCTTGTGGTTGAATCCACGTCACCTGAGGCCAGTTAGAGATTATTAGGGGACAGTAATGACCTTCCAGTTCAGGAATTATTTGTTGATTTGCATTGCATAAAAAAGGTCCACACTTAGTTTGTATGGAATGACAAGGGTCCACTGTTGGCTGGTACATAATGGCACAAGTTCCCACTGAGACAGAATGGAGCAACATATACACTCCAGCATCAGTGTATAAAGAAGAAATTAGCAAAACTGATCATTCTAATGAGCAGATTTTCATCTAAAGTGAATACAAACATTTCGTATAAAGTAGCACCAGTAATGTCACTATTGTAGATATAGTGTGTATAAGTAAGCCATCATCAAAAGTTACTGACATTAAGGTATTGGCACAGCAATTTAACATGTATAGGAAAATAGAGGAGGAACAGAGGGTTGTCTGAGATGCAAAGGATTATTCTTCTGGATCGTGAATTAAGATCACAAAGACCGATGTTAAACCACTGCAACACACATTTCTACAGTCCATTAATTTTAAACACTACTGGAGTTTTATACTCTTTGACTGCATTGTTGTCATGAGAAAAAAAACAACAACTCAGAACTAAACTCACTAAACTCAGGGTTTGACATGACCTGATGACCTGGAGCCACACAAATTTATTTTTGTATTAAATTTAAATTATAAATGTATCTTTAAAATGATCAAATTAGTTAATTTCTTCTTTATTTACCCATGCTGGAATGTTTATGTCGCTCCATGCTATGTCAATGGGAACTTGTGTTATTATGTACCAGCCAACAGTGGACCTATGTCATTCCATATAAACCAAGTGAGGACCTTTTTTCTGTAATGCAAAACAATAGATAAAATGCATTCCTATACAT